ATTATCAATAATTAAGTAGACGTGAAATCAGTGAATCTTGAAAGATTCCAGATCGTGGGAACAATGGTCATGTGCAAGCTAGCATGATCCAGTCATGATTGTACATGTCATTATCTTACCCCTTTCTGTCCCCAGGATATGACTGGGACCGTTTCATGGTTACAGTATTAATATTCACAAAAGGTTATGCTGATGGAATAAGTTAATCTGCATTCCCGCTTACGCGTTATTGTTGGTAGATAAGCTACCAAATCAATGTACAGGCTAATTCCTTCATACATGTACTTACCGGAGCACGGTATTCGTGTCGGCTTGACGATGTAATGACAGGCTCTATCAGCAGGAATGTTTGATAAAAAGATTTGAGTTCTTCACAACAGACATTCCTGAATGTAACACTTTACTTTACTTTACTTTACTATGTCATGATGGGCTAATATGTATACCAAACCAGCATCCATGTCAAGGACATTCTCTACACAATCTGCCACGACTTCTGTTCAAGTATTGTGCTGCTGCTGCTACTTTGTCGACCTGAGCAGAAATTCTGCAGGTTAAGGAAAAAGCACGTGCAAGCACGGTGAGTCGAGCACAAATATCGTGGCAAATCTGGTTAATCTGCGTAATTCGTGGGTAAAATGAATAAATTGATTTGTTTGTACGTCTGGATTGTGTAGTGATCGCCAAACACTTTGGGCAAATCAGTTCAGTATTGTCCGCACAGAGTGTCTGATCAACGTCATGAAATGATCAGTACGATTATGTCAGATAAACAACCAGGCATTACACTTAATCTCGCGGAAACGTACAGGTGGAACAGTGCTTTATCAGATCACTTTATAGCTTGCCTAACAGGCAAAGCTAATGCCTTTTTTCACAGTTTAACTGAATATATAGATACTAATCTAGATTATCAGTCATCTACTGGATGCAGCCAAATGTATGAAAAGACCAGCTTTTAGATGCCAGACTTTAAGACGCCAACCCTTAAACAACGAGTGTAGGTCTGCAAAGCGTGAAGCGAAGAGGGCGCTTAGGAAATTTAGACTTACACGAAACGACTACAACAGAAAGACTTTTTGTACTTTGAGAAATAAATATAAAGAATCATGTCGAAAATATAAGAGCAAAACAAGAGATCTCCGATTGAAAAAACTTAGCACTTTCACTCAAAATTCTGGTAAATTTTGGCGGGAGATTCGTTCCTTGAAAAGTAAAGATAATGTGGTTTGTAAGATAACAACTGACCAGTGGTTGTTACACTTCCGTTCTGTCTTTTCACATTTTCATGAAGAATATGAATGTAATGATACAGCTAGCTTGCAGGAATCTAAGGCTAGTTTGGAGACCAGTGGTTATACAGAACTTGATGCTGAAATCCTTGATTCAATAATAACCGAAACCGAAATTGTCGATGCCATAGGAAATCTTAAAAACGGAAAATCACCTGGTCCGGACAAAATTTTAGTGGAGATGTTAAAAACTTCCCAAGTCATTATATTGCCATTTTTACATAAATGTTTTAACTATGTTTTTAAGACTGGATACTTTCCAAGAACCTGGGCACAGTCTATCATAGTACCTCTACATAAGAAGGGTGACACCAATAACCCTGACAATTACAGAGGCATATATCTGACGAGTAGTATTGGTAAATTGTTTACATCTATCCTCAACAAAAGATTAAACATGTGGGCTAATATTAGAGATAAAATTCCTGAAATACAAGCTGGCTTTAGGAAAGGTTATTCCACATCTGACCATATTTTTACGTTGTATGCAATTGTGCAAATGTACTTAATAAGAAGAAAACGTTAATTATATGTAGCATTTATTGACTTTAGGAAAGCATTTGACTCTGTAAATCGACAGAAATTGTGGGCTTGTTTAAAGCGGGCGGGATTAGATGGGAAAATGTTATTTATGTTACGAGGTATTTATGCCATCGTAAAGGCTTGTGTGCGTAGCAATGGGGGATTCACTGACTATTTTGAGTGCCAACTGGGTGTGAAGCAAGGATGTTTGTTAAGCCCTATTCCCTTTTCTTCTTCATTAGCGAATTGGAAAATGAAATAATTCATAAAGGCAAACATGGTGTACAACTATATCCTGATATTTTGGAGATTTTAATGCTACTGTTTGCTGACGACGTGATATTAGTATCGGACTCAGTGGTAGGTTTACAGAACCAATTAGACATTCTGGAGAACTACTCGAAAGAATGGAAATTAGATGTTAATCTTGATAAGTCAAATATTGTTGTATTTAGAAGGGGTGGACCAATCGCTAATGGCGAAAAATGGTCTTATAACGGCATTCCAATGCAAATAGTTTCTGAATACAAATATCTTGGAATACTTTTTAATTATACATTGAATATGGGTAAAGCTGCTATTGCCTTATCAGCAAAAGCAAAAAAGGCTCTGGTGTATCTGCTTTCATCACTATATCCATTAGCGCCAATAACACCAAAGATGTTTTTTAAACTTTTCGATGCACAGATACAACCAATGCTTTTGTATGGGGCGGAGATATGGGGTTTCCAGACTTTTGAACCGATTGAAAAGATACATCTATTGGCATGTAAGAAGTTCCTAATGTTAACATTACAACACCAAACTACATGGTACATGGAGAATGTGGAAGATACCCACTTTATATAAACTTTCACCTTCGCTGCATAAAATACTGGTTCAAAATACTGAAAATGCATGAACAGCGTCTACCAAGAAAGTCATATAACATGCTACTTAATTTAGATAATATTGGTTATGTAACATGGGCATCAAATATAAGATATCTGTTATTTTCGTATGGATTTGGATATGTGTGGATTTTCCAAGGTGTCGGTAACGAGTGGCTGTTTATGAATGAATTTCGCCAAAGAGCCGTGGATATGTTTCGCCAGAATGGGATGAATACCCTTAATCTAAGTTCAAGATTCGATGTATATAGATCCTTTAAAACATTGATCGAACCTGAGACATATCTATCAAACATTACAAGCAAGAAACTTAGAAATACAGTTATTAGATTTAGACTTGGCTTGACAGATATAATGATCAATACTGGCCGTAACAAGTCACTCGCCAAACATCTCAGATTTTGCCCTGTCTGTATGGCGGATATCGAAGACGAATATCATCTGTTATTTATATGTGACGCTTATGTCGATTTAAGAAAGGAGTACATTCCACAAAAATATCTGGGTCACCCTACAAGGGAAACACTTATAAGAATTTTATCATCAAAAGCCGAATCTGTCCATGTAAAATTAGCCCTGTTTTTAACACATTCGCTGTCTTTAAGGAAGAGTTTAATTTCTCCTGTCAACTAATCTAACAATGTTATGATGCTTTCCACTGTTTGCAATGTCCATACCTTGCCTGTCATTACAATACTCTGTATACGGGCCAGAGGCCTTCTGTACAATAAACCATCTTCATCTTCATCTCTTGTTCGCTAATATTCCAAATTGTCCCCAATTTACGCGTCATGGATCCAGTCCTCCGGGTCATGTAGAGGGTGGAAGGAGGGGCCAGTTGAGACACAGCGTGATGTGGTCAAGGTCGTGATGTGGTCAAGGTCGTGATGTGGTCAAGGTCGTGATGTGGTCTATGTATGTATATTTAGGACGTGCCACATGTACTGTAAAGACGGCGAGTTGCGGTAGCAATTGCAGTCAAGAACATAACCAAGTCAAGTCATCTACATATAACACGACCCTTCCGGTAATTCGGTAGATATACACGCGTAACGGGAATATTAACAGATGGAAACACTTTTCATAATCATAAGAAATCGTTACTAGAAGCTGAGTGTCTCACTCTGAGAGTGTGGGAGTAGGGGACGCTTTATCAGGAATACAGTAGGGGACGCTTTGTCAGGAATAAAGTAGGGGACGCTTTGTCAGGAATACAGTAGGGGACGCTCTGTCAGGAATACAGTAGGGGACGCTCTGTCAGGAATATAGTAGCGAGTCATTATCGTCACCATCTAGGTACGAGTCATCGCAGAGCAGAGCCACCGCGGCTGGTTACTGGACGCGCCAATTATAGGTAATCCTATAACAACAATATCACGGAACTGTTGGGGGACATAATTCCGTTAAATAAACTCTGCTCATCCGGATCACCTTCTACTAGTTGCGTCGTCATGACGTCATCGCGGCGAATTTCATTAATTTACCTCTAATAACACCATAACCCCCGAGACCTATTAGTACATGCATGTCGAGTACCATGGCAACTACTTCTCTCGTTTATCGATATCGTGTTCTACCTACAGGTGCTATACTTGACTATATGACGTAATGCAAGCTCACACAGCACAGCCATAATTGCTTCCAGAACCAGATGTTTTCACAGCGTGGACAACAGCGAATAATCACGTCTCAACTATATACACAAACAGCTTCCATGGGCCGAACAAGCAGCGAGGCAGAGATGGAACAGTAGATGGATGGATCACTGGAAAACGGTAACCGACGCACAGGGCGTGTCTAAAGCTGACAGAAGTCACGTTCCAAATCGTATACCTCCCTTAGCCTTATTTGTTTGTAGTACAATTTATGTTTGTTGATGACACCGTGTGAGTGAGTGAGTGAGTGAGTGAGTGAGTGAGTGCCCAGGTCTTAAGGTACCCCTCTCTGTGACGTTACAGTTATGATGGATAGAGTGTTCCAGTCTGTAAGCACTGAACTATAAGGACGTTTGTAATGAATGGAGTACTTTTCACAAAGAATTTTTAATGGACATCATCGTTGATCTTCTTACACTCAACATAAACATATTTACAACTACTTGGCCAAGAAACTCCCACCTCTGTTAAACTCGTCAAAATACATATGGCAAATACGAATAGACGTGTATGAAGATTGCTCATGAAGAGGAGTAGGTTTTACTTTATCAAATTGTCATCCGAGAACAGGGAGCGTTAATCATTAAAATATGACACACAGTTAATTAACTGATAGTATTATGGAAGGGGTCCAAGCTTACCTGTGACGAAAACAGTGTGTATAAATAAGATGGCAAGGCTGACTTTCCATAGATACTCCACGATGGGCGACATAATGCGGTGATTCGGTTCTGTCAATCGGTGGTCTGAAAACACAGAGATGTCATTCTTAAACAAAGTCAAAATTCCCCACCTTCCGCTTATAGTAAATGTGGGAGCAATGCTCGACATAAATGTAAAGTTGACGCCTTTCCTATCCCCTGTCTACAGTAGAGTGTTACTCTAATCTGTAGTGTATATCTAAATAACAAACACATGACACGGTTTGACTGGTCATTTCAAGTTCAAGTGGGTAAATCAGTGGGACGGAATTTGCTGTTAGAGCGACAACACATTTTTAACACCCAAAAGAAACCTCTTGTTTTTTATTTGCCAGTCCAAACAGACATTCCGATTTACTGTATACACCCATACAGTCCGCCATTCACATATCTCACCAGTACACGTCAGATGACGTTTGCTTTCAGTTTTGACAAAACCTGACCATCTGAGCGAATGAGTTTAGTTTTACGCCGCTTTTAGCAAAATTTCAGCAACATCACGGCGGGGAACACCAGAAATGGGCTTCACACATTTGTGACCATGTGGGGAATCGAACCCGGGTCTTCGGCTTGTGTGAACGACTTCACCACTAGGCTATCCCACCACCCCTTGAACATTTGATGGTGGAGATGTAACTATACGTGGTCACTAGTTTTAATACCTTATTGACGTCTTGAACCTAGTGCCACAGTCTACAGACTTTATATACTGTTGTACAAAAGAAAGTACACACCTGGTGTATTGAGACTATTCCCAAATAAACAAATATTTTGCTAGCAACAGTGTACTTGAGTACGACATCTGGTGTTATTGCAACACGTACACAATGATTGTGACTTGTAAGTCACAATCAAAACACTTTTCTAATTTTAAGAAAATATTTTACCAAAGCATCAGGTGTGTAGTTTCTTTTGTACGTCAGTGTAGTAAAGTTGAGCGTAAATGTTGATAGTGTTATTGTCTGTAAAGTCAACCAGTACACATGAATCGGATTCTAATTTATAAATGACTTTCTATTATAAAGATATTCGTGAAACAATTCTCACTGTTTTTGTCTGCCATGTGATTTCTAACTTCCTGCTCCGAGTCCCGTGGTATAGTTGTGTTTGCTTAATACATCCTTCCTAAGCGTTCAAGGACCCGTGTATATTGTTCGCATTGCAAATACACTTGCATTTCCAGTAAAGTTAGCAGTAGAATATTATTTTTTCTTCCAATGCAAGGCTACTCTGTCATCACATGGTATTTGTTGTCAGAGATTGATCGCCATGTAACAGCCAGTCACATGAATGAAGAACAAATGTAGATGTGTTTCCCACTTGTCGTGGAATTCCTATGGGGCATGCGGGACTGAACAAAAGACTGCTGTACACAATCTGTATGAACTGTGATTGTAAATGAATAGCACACTAGCGAACCCAGTAGACAACACTGGCTTTTTGTCTTTGTTAAATCGGAGGAGATATATTGTGCTTGTATGAATCGATAGAACCTGATTAAGAGACGTTGAAAACTCTCACGTTGAAATATCAACACACAATCAGTAGTGTTCGTCAGAGAAATGCATTATAACTCTTGACAGGTAAAATGTATGTCTTTAACAGCATCCATGATGTTTTTTGGACGTGATGTCTCTGTGATACGTAGACCTCCATACATTTAAGTCTGAAGTATTGTGTCGTCTGCTTCAACAATCGATAGCTGCCTGCACTTCTGTACCATAATGGCGTTTATGGGTCAGCGATGTCTACTTGAGATTTTCTAAATGCGTTTACACATCACTTACTCCCTGTGTTTATATTTGCTGATCTGTTTGTCGCCAAAAAGAAAAATCGACAACAAAAAGCAACTCCTGTAGCTTGATTCAAGCCCGAGTGCGTCTGTGTCCATGTCGATACAATGGCGGCTGTATTGACAGTACAATATATCGATACAGGAGTTATGGAAATAAACATGTTCCATCCGTAAACTGGCGTTCTGACTAATCTATCCATTGTCCCGTAATGCAAAATCATGATGCGATACCAATTTATATTTCACACATAATTGTGTCTCAAGAAACCAGGATCTGCAGTCCAGTTGAATCAGTTCCTCTCACAATTAGTTTCATGTATACAATGAGGAACATACGTAACGCTGATTGAAATCTGTACCAGGCATTACCATTACAACCGGTGTCTAGAAGTCGCCTGTATGATGCCAGGTTACAACACCGGTGTAGGCTGACTGCACCAACTGTGGCTTATCCTGTGTCTGTCTTCACGACCCCACCGAGTTCCCGAATAAATGGGCAGCCTATTGGTTTAAATGGTGCTCGTATCGTCGCATGCTTGGGTACAGCGAATATATCTGGTACACGAGTACGGTGAATAAAGCCCATTTCTGTTTCCCGCCGTGACGTTCGCGTAATGTGGCGTAAAGCAGCACTCGCTCACTCACTCGCTCACTCACTCACTCTCCACCCGCCCGCTCACTCACTCACTCACTCTCCACCCGCTCACTCGCTCTTACTCACTCACTCACTCACTCGCTCACCCCACTTGCTCAATCGCTCACTCACTCACTCACTCGAAAGCATTTCTGTTTTCACGGCCCAACAAACTGTTTGATCCGCTACTTTTTTTTCAACTTGTTTCTCTGATGTAGTGGTTCATACGATATCCTCAGTTTTATCATAACCATCCAGACAAAGTTAAGGGCACAAAATAGATTTTTCTTTTGAAGATAAGGATACAATATTCAGTTTGTGTCTGGGATTAAATCAATGTCACAGATACGATCTCATTTCTAGAACTCAAGTGTCAATGAATCTCCTTAGAGATATTACCGCGCAGTGATATCCCAATAGACAGCTTAAAGTTACAGGCATTGCTATAAACTCCTCCATTAAGAATCGTCTTGGCTAGAGGTCATTTCAATAGGGTGACACATCGTGCCAGTCGATGTGCTATCTGATAACATGTAATTATGTAAATTCTCATATAATTAAGTGCGAGAAAAAGAAGGACAATATTTAAGAGTTTATTGGATTGAGCGTTATGCTCGTTAGCCAAAAATCATAATTATTCAATTTTCTGTTGACAGGAGCTCTTTTCCTTTTTGACCGGAACTTGTTAAAGGACTCTTGAATTCAAAAGCGAAAAGAAGACATTTATGCTTGTTATTAATCAGAGTTTCTTTCAGCAACAAATCAGCGCTGAAGTCGTTGAGATTCTCATATCCCGTTCACACTCTAAATCAAGGCTGTGCTTTCACAAGCACGCTACGTCGCGTGATAGTGTGATGAGTTTTCACAGGGGTATTTTCACCAACAAGTAGGGAAATTCAACGTCGTGAACGGCAAATGCGACATACGTTTAGAAAGCACCTGTGCTGTGCACATGACGACAAAGAGCCCTTGGCGGGAACCAGCCTGGTCTTCCTCCGGTCTCCACTGACTGGCTGGAATCAACGGGCGACTAATTTGGCAGTAAAACAATTCAGTCTGAATTGAATCAACCTCTCCCTAGGGTGAAATAACTTGAAATCGGATCGAGTTTTCACTGACATTCGGAGTAATCGTAATGTTCTTTTCCGTACAAGAATCTCCACGGAAGTATATTCCTTGTTATGGGCTAATTCCCATTCGGGATATCGTCAGTCTACTGGGGATGTTTCTGGTTGAAATCAGTTCTTCTCTGATGTGCTTAATTGAACATATTGCGCCCTTCAACTGAAGGTGACGCTTGTTGTGTTTTGTAAAGTTGCACATAATTCGACGTGAACAGTTAATGTTCGTGCATTGATTGTAAACAAATTAAAGGTGTTTTCTCCACCAGGTACAACAACATTATCCCACGGTTGGACATCAGTGTTCGATATTTAATCCCACCCATATTGTAACTATGTAGTAGGGGTGAAACGGTATACCGCGGTATTCGTAGAAACGTGGTATTTGCCTTCGATTCGGTATACCATAATGCAGTCCGAAAATTCGGTATTTCCAGTTTTCGTACCGTCATTTATTAACCTTTTAAAACCTTTTCTAAAATGTCTAGAAATCGAATCATTTTGTCAAAATCTATGCATTTCTTTGCCAGACGGCCGCTATTTTCTCGGAAGTAACCGAGGGCCTTGTACCGCAATACGTACCGTACCGTGGTAAGAGCGTACCTTTTCACCCCTACTATGTAGCATCCCGCCAGCTGACAAAACAGTTATACATTAACGCCAATGTACTTGACTTTTGGGATTGTTTTAAATCGGTTGTGTGGAAACAAATCCCTTAGTTATACTAAACACTAAACATATTAATTATTTACAATTCGCAGTTCAAACTGTTACCTATCCCGTGAAACTATCTGTAATTCCCAAGAAAACATGGAACTACTTTCCACTAAATATCCTGACTGGAACGATAATGTATTTGTCGATTACAGAATGCTTCTGCACATCGGCTCCAACAAGCTTCGTAAGATACAATGGGCAGTTGTATCTCAAAATCATATCAGACGGGAAAATCCCAACATAAAACAAGCTACCTGTGGCACCTTAAGGTATGACCAGATCATCACACTAATCTATCCCAGCATAAGACCTTACACAAGTAACATAGCACAATAACGGGCTAATGTATCTCACCATGACAAGATGTCATATGAATGCCAACAGTACAGTCGGCTAGTATGTTCCAACATACCATCTGACAGATGTATCCTACCATGACAAGATGTCATATGAATGCCAACAGTACAGTCGGCTAGTATGTTCCAACATACCATCTGACAGATGTATCCCAGCCTAACACCGGGCTAAAATATCCAAATATATTTTTGGACTATCGTAAGGTAACAACGGCATGTTGTATCTTCAGTCTGCATCCCGAGCCATCATCCAGCAGAACAACGGCATGTTGTATCTTCAGTCTGCATCCCGAGCCATCCTCCAGCAGAACAACGGCCTGTTGTATCTATTGCCTAATCTGTATCGACGGCCTCCTCCCAAAATAGTAACCAGTTAGTATCTCAACGAAGTAACCAGCTCATGTATCTTTTAACTTAGTGCG